CAACCCCTGTTCCTGGCCGCCCACCCGGTCCGCCGACGTATCCTGGCCCTCCTACCGTGCCTGGTGCTCCGACGTATCCCGGTCCACCCACACTGCCAGGTCCTCCAACGTATCCTGTGCCTTGCCCATTACCATTTTCACCATATCCGGGTCTACCACCATATCCCGGCACTCCCACTTGTCCTGCTCCAGTTCCACCCAAATATCCAGGACCACCCACTGCACCTGGCCCTCCTACATATCCCTGTCCATTATATCCTTGCCCGCCTATTTGACCTGGTATCCCGTTACCCGTGGCGCCTCCAACTTGTCCTGGACCAGTGACAAAACCTGGACCTCCACCGGTACCCGGTCCTCCTAGCTGACCAGGACCACCCACGTACCCCGGCCTTCCTACTTGACCGGGTCCCCCGACGTAACCTGGATGTCCATTGGTGTACCCGGGTCTCCCTACTTGAACAGGACCTCCAGCATACCCTGGGCCTCCTACTTGCCCGGGACCACCATTTACACCAGGTCCACCGATGTACCCTGGTCCTCCAAAGAGTTGCCCGGGCCCTACGCCGGAAACGTAGCCAGGCCCCTCTAGAGCGCCAGGAGGAATGTGACCAGGGGACGCTCCAGGTACAAGTCTGCAAATTAACGAGGGCTGACACACGATGCCAGGCGCCGCTACATAAGGGGATCCAACAGAATATGTGCCCGGCGCCGTAATGGGAGGGCCCTGAATACCTGTTCCCGGCCATCCAGGTTGAGTCACTGCGCCTGGTCCTACACCTCCAGGCCCTACGCCAACTCCTGGTCCAACTCCTCCAGGACCTATGCCACCGGGCCCTACCCCTCCAGGTCCAACTCCTCCAGGACCAATGCCTCCGGGCCCAACCCCTCCAGGTCCCACCCCGACCCCTGGTCCAACTCCTCCGGGACCTACGCCTCCCGGTCCCACGCCCCCAGGCCTCACTCCAACACTACCTGGACCTCCTTGATATATAGCATCAGGACCTACGCCCCCTGGTCCACCTCCTACAGCTCCTGGCCCAACGCCACCAGGAACTCTACTTCCTGGTCCTACACCACCAGGCCCGAAGCCCATGCCTGGACCTACCCCAATACCGCCAGGACCTATACCTTCCTGATCTCCTCCTGGTCCAACGCCGCCAGGACCTACACCCCCCGGCCGTACACCAGGACCCGCACCAATACCACCAGGGCCAATACCAATACCTCCTTGATCCACACCGATACCAGGCCTGGCTCCTCCTGGTCCCAAACCAACGCCTCCAGGACCAACACCTATTCCAGGCACTGCTCCTGGTCTTACTCCAACTCCCGGCCGTACACCTCCCACACCCACTCCACCCGGCCCGACTATACCTCCCGGCCCGACTATGCCTCCTGGTCCAACGCCACCCGGTCCGACTATACCACC